ACTCTTTCCTCCAAGGATGTCAAAAACCTTGAGAAAGGTCTTTTCTGGAAATCTATTTTACAGTGTCGTTGTCATTGATATGACACAATTTGTTATTGAGTTGTATCCTTTTTTTTGTCCTGATTGCTCTTTCACTGATGTTAACAGTTTGCACTGACTTGGTCCGTGGTGCCAAGGATAAGAGACTGAGGGTTAAGGGTCCAGTGAGAATCCCTACCAAGGTTCTTAACATTACCACCAGGAAATCCCCTTGTGGTGAAGGTATTCATCTCAAAAAACTGCTTGTATAATCATGGTTAGATTAATATGCAGTGTCTGGCATTTTGTTTTATTATTTACTTCATGCGCTATCTACAAGTCCATGTAGTGTACTTCTTTCTTTAATTTCATTTGTGCTTTCTGCTAACACATATCACTTCATGGGTTCCACGTGTTTGTTATTGTTTTTTTTCTTCTTCTTTGGGTAATGTTTGAATGGCTGATTTGTTTGATTTGATAAGAGTATTTCGAGGGAGAAATTGAGAAGGGTTAGCAACATTACAGTTCTCTATAGATATGTTCTTTTGTTTTTTACCCTTTACAACCACTGCAATAATCAAATGTACTTTTGCGCGCCATATGCAGTCTTATTCAGTAGTATGAGTGGTTGGTGCCTGTGAAATAACTTCCTATTGATTAAAATGCTACTTATTTAACTTTCTAGGTGCTCCAGTCTGAGCATAGGACCTAGGGCGGATCAGTTAGACCATGTTAGTTGGTCTTGTAATGAGAAAACAAGTCATAATTTGCTCTACTGTTTTCCTAGTGGTATTTGCACTCGAGTTTACAAAGTTGATATTTGCTTCAGAATGATTTTTTTAGGACATAAGATATAAATGATTGTCCCTGTAAAGACACTTAATATATGAGCTGCTGACACCATGAAAGATTAGAATTTGTTGTGTGGAGTTTTTTGTTACTTCATCTGCCCTTTCTTACGAGGGCTTGTTCTCCTCTTTTGCCAATACATCTGTTAAGCTTAAGGATTTTTCTTGTATATCTTGTCATCTTGCAGGAACCAACACATGGGACAGATTCGAGCTTCGGGTCCACAAGCGTGTTATTGATCTCTTCAGTTCTGCCGATGTTGTCAAGCAGATCACCTCTATTACAATTGAACCTGGTGTTGAGGTTGAAGTTACCATTGCAGATTAGAGAGATGCTATTTACTTCTTTTGGACTGTTTTATTTATTTTACTAGAACACTTCAGGATCTTTTTGATTGGAAGATGTTGATCAGCCTTGTGACTGAAAAGAATTCAATGTAGCATGTTCATTCCCCATTCCATCTTAAAGATTCGGTGAAGGAGATTGAATTTTGTTTCCTCTTTATTTCATTATGAATTGTTATGATTTCAAAGTGTTCCCGTATTGTTTCTAGCAAGATTCAAAAATTATTATAATTGAATTTGTTTCACTTTGAAGTTGATGGGATATGTATCTTGTTTTTTCAAAAAAAAGAGAATCAACTCCTAAGTAGATGCACAGACATGGCTTAATGTTCGAAGTTGTGTTGCTAAGGTACTTCACTGTACCGCCGTTTCGATTGTAAAGCAATCAACTTTTAAGGGCCATGGTTGCTTATTATGATATCTAGCTCCTGTTAGGCGTTATCCATACAACACTTCATCTTGGGTTCTCTGCTTTTGTTTCATCTGAAAAAAATGCTCACTTTAACCATGGTTTCATGGAGATGGGATGAAACGAGACATGACAGAATCGTCTGGACCCATACTCTTTAATTGCTCCTTCATTCCCATGATGCGTGTAAAGCATGACCAATTTTGCGCATGGGTGACAGCCATACCGTGATTACTTAATAGCTCCTTCATTTCCATGATGCGTGTAAAGGTTGGCCAATTTTGCGCATGGGTGACAGCCATACCGTGATTGCCAGTTGATAGATAACCCATTTTATTTCATGCTTTCTAATGGCATGGCAACGTAATTGAACAAGTATTTCTGACTCAAAGGTAAGAGAAACCGGTCAAATACAGAAGCATGGATTCATCTAAACTGCAATCATTGAGCTGCTTATGACTGCATATCAATGGATGTAAATTTCTCCATTCTGCTTTTGGTGACTATAAATCTCATTTTCCGTCTCTTCTATTTCTCTTTCTCGTAGTAATCAAAGAGTTCATCTAGAGATGCCAGAGGGAAAAACAAAACCACTGTCAATACACTCCAACCGAGACTGGCCACAACCACATTTGCCACTGGCGTACAAACTTATGCCCCGGAACTAGAGATCCACCATGCCATTGGTGGACTGCAATAACCTTCCTCTGCCCTTTGACATAAACAAGAGAAACCGCGTATGATTGGCATCTCCATGCTAGAAAGTTGCAAGGGCAGAGGAAGGTTATAAATTTCCTTGGAAGGACCATGCTAGAAATTTACCGATGATTTTAAGATAAATAAATGCTGATAATAACGGAACTCACACATTAATCCCCAAGTAATTGACTACTACTGCATTAAAAGTCTGACAATACATCACAGAAGTTACAGGGAAGGACAACAATCCTTCCACTCCCCAGCCAATCATCTAATATTTAGAGAAAACAAAAATATACACGTGCAGCAAATTTCAGGACATAGACGAGGCAAATGCACCAAAATATGCTACCACTAATGGCGACCCTTGCTCTCATGTTCATGTTCCATCTCTTCTGCGTCTTCAAACCGGTGATCATTGATTTGGAGCTGCACGTGCATAATTAAATCATCACCAGAAGATGATCAAGACTTACAAAGAAGCCAACAAGAGAGTTAAAATGGAGTACAAACTACAACAAAGGGCAACACAATTTCCCATTTTAAACACGAGCACACGGTCACCATGAACATCCCAAAATATTTAATGCTCATATTTCATACCATAACACTCAACATACTGAAAGATAGTGTCATCAAATATTTGGCTCGATATTTTACAAGTTCTCAGGTTCCTAAGTTCAATCATATAAAGAACAAGTGTCGAAAAGAATGGAAGAAAAACCAAACATAGAACTCTTGTCAATTCATCATGCAATTTAAGTACCATAATGATGTTTAATATATCCATGACATCCATAATTGTGATGCCAAAAGTGAAAATTAATATGGGACTTAAAATAAATGTTTAAATGAACATGCACTGGGATACCTCAAGCACTGTGCGAACTAGGTCATGATCCCCATTTGAATGACCAATTGAACTTGTTGGATTTTGAGAGAAATTCCATTCAGAATCTTCCACTTCTGTAGACACAAAAATGTTGCAAGAAAATATAAAAATATAGGTCAGTAGGAGCGAAACCAAACTATTTTTCCAAAGGTACAAATGCTAAATGCTCTATCCCATACCAGCAGTTTCATCTGCCAGTTGATCAGCACTAAAGATCCAATTATGTTCCTCTTCATTATCTAAATAAACATTATCAAACACATATGAATCAGTAGCAATTTATTGGAGAATAATAGCAAGCATTGAATAGAAAAATAGAAACAGAAATCATCTGTTTAAAACAATTGCAAAAATGGAGACAGCTCCCACCTTCAACTGGTTCAGGATTTAGCTCAGCGCACTCACAGAACACCTGAAACAAAGTATCCACTAAAAACCAAAAGAAAAAAGTTAAAGTTTGATCTTCAATCATCAAACCTATGCCAAACGTGATGCAAGAACTAGTAAAGCAGTAATGTGACATGAATATTGAATATGATAAATCTATTAGAAAAGGAGTGCAGAAATACATTGGCTAGGGTCTGAAGGAACAAGTCTCATCTCCGTGACTTTCGACAAGTCTAAAGCATCACTACATTCTGAATCCGATCCTTCTGATTCATCTTCATCCTCTCCAGTCTCAATCTTCAAATAAAACAATATTGATCAGAAACACAATGCACCAAGTAGTAAATTGAAAGTAAAAAATTGAGATGCCACCATATTCTATCAGAGAAAAAAAAAGATTCAGAGAAAGTCCAACTGTTACATGCTTAATTCAAAAGTTGAAGGAAAATTCATGACCATACAGTTGTATTCAATCAAAACTAACTAGCAACAGCCTGAAAATGAAAAAAAAATCCCTTCCAAACTTGACAACAACAAATGGCCTTTTCTAACATCCACCATTCAATTCCTTCTAAACTAAACCAGTCCACTTTTTGAATCATAATGATGATGAATAACACCCACAACATTATAGCTTTTCATTATCCACCAAAGATAGAGAAATATTAATTTAAAATATCTGCATGCATACATCTGCTACAGAGGGTCAATACAAATCCATGACCCCATATAGTTGCATTGAATACACGTGTTTACCACCAATACCAACTACCAACAGCCCAGAAAATAAAATAAATAAAAACCGCTGGTAGTTTCAGTCAAATTTAAACTCAATCCAACACAGAATTATTTCCTCAGAGCCATAATTATGATCAAAATTACTACTTAAAAAAAAGAAGCTCCAAATCTAATTTGAAAATAAGTACAAAGAAACTTACTTGAGTGTAGATACAAGGAGAAGGGTAAGCCTCAGGATCTCTTGAAACAGCATGAAGTGAAATAGACAAGAAATCAACTGCATAACCTTTTGTCCTATCCACATCACTTAACCACAAAACTTTCCTGCAATAAAAAGAACAAAACCCCACTTCCCTTTTTACTATAAAAACTTCATAAACTCAAAAAAGAAACAGAATTTCATAGCAGAATGGAAAAAAAAAAAAGAGTAATGGAATGATAGTATTTTATTTACTTTGTGGAGATGTAAAGAGTGCCTGGAGATTCAGGGGACCCGTTGCCGATGACAATGGAGACTTCACGAAACATAAGCATAAGCTCCTCGCCATTGTCGGTGTCAATAACTGGTTGTCCAGCACCGTCTCCTCTTCTCTCAGTGAATTGCCTTAAACCTGGTGCCATCTTTCTATTTTTTTTGTTCTTGTCTGGGTTTGATTTCTAGCTGTCAAGTTTTCTGGTGTTTTTCTAGGGTTCTATTGAGGTTTTGGTTTGGGCCTTTTTTTTAGGTTTTATTTTTAGGGATAACTTAGTAATGGGCTTTGATGAAAACTTGAGACGTTAAAGCGCAATAACTAAGACAAGGCTTCTTTTCTTTTGTTATCTAGATTATTCTCTTAAGCATGATCGGCTCATACTTCTTAAATCTAACGACAGCGTTTTGTTTTGGCTAAATCATTAAAAATCTGAAAGAGTCAACTAGATCTCGTCAAATTAATATTTTATTTAGTTAATTTAGATTAAACTCCGAGTTTATATTTTTTGAGTCAACTTACAAAGTTGAGCTCGGTTAATTGACTATACATTAAGATATAGTATTATTTATAATTACTTCTTCGTACCTCCTTTAGATTTAAACTCCAAAGAATAACATGAGACAAATTCAATAATGATCTTGATAAACAAATTCAATTACCATTAAAGTCAAAGCTCAAGGGAAGAAGGGAAGATATATGGCTCGTTTGCCTGTCTTCATTTCCAGTCGTGATGATGAACGAAAGCTGGGAATGTTTTTAAATTGATCTCCAGGCTTCTTGGAGAAAAACATCCATGAAAATGCAGTATACATATAAGAAACCTTGGTGAAGCTGTTAGCATCAACGCCTCTTTAAATTTGTGAATATCGTAGCGTCCCTCACGTTTCTTACTAAAAACTCAGTCCCCTTCTGACAACCGCTACTGCTGTGGTCGCCGATCTGATTAATGCTAGTCATTTACAGATTTTCCCTGTTATATAGTTGTTTTGCCTTTCCAACATGATTGCTCTCAACGTTCAGACGTTCCACCCGCACAAAGCATGATCCAACGTCTTGGATGCCCCACCAGTGCCATCTCATTGAATTAGGCAGAGGTCAGGGTTATAGATATTTTTCAAAATACTTTTAGCTTAAAAAGATATTTCAAATGTGCAACAGCATACCTCATGTTAACATACACAACACGCAATCCCAATAACTGCCCAACATGAAGCTCTCCTACATATTTGTTTGGAAATACGGGCAAACTGTATTTTAAAAAAATTTAATTTTAATTTGATTAAAAATTAATTATTATTTTTTAATATTTTAAATTGTTTTAATACATTGATTTCAAAAATAAATAAAAATATCATAATACATTTCAGAATAAAAAACAACTCAAGCCATGTTACTAAAGGGACTCAAAATCTTGGAGTTGGCAAGATGTACCAATCTGTCACTATTACCAGCTTAAATTTGCAGCAGACTGGGTAGCAACGTCAAACTATGATTCATACATTGTTTCTGCAACCTACTTGACAAATATGAGAGGTCTAAAGTTCCAAATTTTATAGCTCAAAACAAACAGTATAGAAAAAAGTTAAAATGTAG